TAGTTTTGCATATATATATTAACAAAAAAAAAAACACACACACACACAATACATATTTCTTTGTTGAGTAGTCTGTGATGCAGTGGCCATCTATTGTTCACCACCATCCCTCCTTTGGAGGTTACATAAATAATAACTGGAAGGATATGGAAATGTATCTACCATCAAATGGTGTAAAACAATACCAGAGTTAATGAACAATTATTTTTAACAATGTTTTGTTTTGTTGTTATTTTTTCATATCCTTTGTATTCCATTCAATGCCACCGCCTCTGGATTATCCTGTGTGGCATTATGGGTTTCCTGGGATACTAAAAGAATTTTTAATGACCAGAAAGAAATATGCAAATTGGATGTAGAAATCAGTATGCAAAGGACTTCTATAGAGAGTAGATAAAGCGAGAGCTCTCTTACCGAGACTGGGTCTTCAAAAGGTCTTTTATAGGTACAAGAGGCATCTAAAAGCTTTTCATAGGTCCATTCAAGGCTTTTTACATATAGAGGATCGTTCATAGATCTGCAAAAGACAAATGGATTTCAAAAGCGCTGGAAGAAATTTCCTTCAGATAAAAACCCTCCCAAAACTCTTTTATGATCGGAACATAATCTATTGAAAAAGAGGACATTTAAAAGTTGGTTTAGAAACTTAAAGATTTTTTAATGACCAGAAAGAAGTATGCAAAGGACTTCTATTTAGAGTAGATATACCACGAACGCTCTTTACAAGACAGGTCCATCAAAAGGTCTTTTATAGGTACAAGAGGACATCTACAGTTCGAATAACTTTTCATAGGCCCATTCAAGGTTTTTTTACATATAGATGATAATTCAAAGATCTGCAAAAGACAAATGGATTTCAAAAGTGCTGGAAGTCCTCTAAGAAATATCCTTCAGATAGAAACCACCCCCAAAACTCTTTTATGATCGGAACATAATCTATTGAAAAAGAGGAAATTTAAAATTTGGTTTAGAAACTAAAAGAATTTTTAATGACCAGAAAAGGAATATACAAATTGGATGTAGAAATCAAATGACTTCTATAGATATACCAGGATATCTCTCATAGATACAGGACCTTCAAAAGGTCTTCTATAGATAAAATACCTTCAAGAGGTCATATTCGGGTCGAAAACTGTTCATAGGTCCATTCAAGGCTTATTACATATAGGGGATCATATAAAGGTCTTCTAAGGACAATTTGATTTCAAAAGTGCTGGAAGTCCTGTAAGAAATATCCTTTAGATAGAAACCTTTCCAAAACACTTCTAGACGATCTTCAGAAAGTGTACAACTGAGAAAGAGTGACTTTTTTCGAAAGGGACGATCTTCATGAGGACTTCTATGAAGGAAAAACCTACTGGAGGTCTCCTGTGGATGGAAGATCCAGAGTGCTAATCACTTAGGATTTTATTTTCTACAGGACCTTCAAAAGGTCTTCTATAGATAAAATTCCTTCAAGAGGTCATTTACGGGTTGAAAACTTTTCATAGGCCCATTCAAGGCTTTTTACATATAGGGGATAATTCAAAGATCTTCTAAAGACAAATGGATGTCCTGTAAAAATATCCTCCTGATAGAAACCTTTCCGAAACACTTCTAGATAATCTTCAGAAAGTGTACTACTGAGAAAAGAGTGACTTTGAAAGGTCTTTTTCGAAAGGAACGATTTTCATGATGACTTCTATGAATGAAAAACCTACTGGTGGTCTCCTGTGGATAGAAGATCCAGAGTCCTAACCACTTAGGATTTTATTTTCTAAACGAAAACAAGTAAAAAACTGTAAGATCGGATATGGGGGCTATACGAAGACGTGGACCTGCACACACTATTTTCTGTCGTAGGCTGTAGTATCCATTACGAACTTCTAATACCAAATTTGAAACAATTTCGGCGAATAATGTAGCTAAAATCATCAAAATACCGAATATATGGAGATACCAAAACATAGACCTGCACAGACAATTTTCTGTAGTACCCATTAGAAACTTCTAATACTAAAATTGAAACAATTCCGGCGAATAATTTCATCAAAATACCGAATATATGGAGGTACCAATACTTAGGGGCTATACGAAGACCTAGACCTGCATAGACAATTTTCTGTCACAGGTTGTAATACTCATTAGGACCTTTAAATACGAAATTTAAAACAATTCCGGTGAATACCGCTGAAATCAGCAAAATACCGAATATAGGGAGGTACCGCTATACGGGGGGCTATAAGAAGACCTAGACAATTTTTTTTGACATTTTCTGTCATAGTTTGTAATACCCATTAGGACCTTCAAATACGAAATTTGAAACAATTCCGGCGAATAATGTCGCCAAAATCTTCGAAATACCGAATATCGTGAGATACCGCTATATGGGGGCTATAAGAAGACCTAGACAATTTTTTTTTTTTGACAATTTTCTGTCACAGGTTGTAATACCCATTAGGACCTTCAAATACCAAATTTGAAACAATTTCGGTGAATACTGTCGTTAAAATCATCGAAATACCGAATATATGGAGGTACCAAATATATATGGGGGGTTATACGAAGACGTGGACCTGCACAGACAATTTTCTGTCATAGGCTGTAGTATCCATTACGAACTTCTAATACCCAATCTGAAACAATTCCAGCGAATAACGCCGCTAAAATCATCAAAATACCGAATATCGGCAGGTACCGTTATATGGGGGCTATACGAAGACGTGGACCTAGATGGCCCATTTGCAATACCAAAAGTCCAGCAGGCATAATATACATTTGAGTAAAATTGTGTAAACCTACTTCATTTCGTTCGGAAGCTAGAGTGATTTCTGCAGACGGACGGACAATGTTAAATCGGATAGAAGTTTATGCTGATCAAGAATATATATACTTTGTGGATTCTTAAATGTATATTTCAAGGTGTAACAAAAGGAATGACAAGCTTTATATACCCTCCATACTTTGGTGGAGGATATAAAAATTAGCCTCACTATTAATGCATTTTTTATACCATCAGCCATATGGCTAGAGAGGGTTTATATCCTTCGATACGAAATGTGCCTCATCGAAATAACGGTTCTAGACCTTATGTCTCTTTGTACCAAATTCGTTTCAGGACATTTGTAATCGATCTAGCGATGTCCGTCCGTCAGTCTGTCTGTCTGGCTGGTGCGCACGATAACTATAGAAGGGAATATCCGATTTTGTAAAATCTTGGTACATCGTAATATTATTACCAAACATAGATTGAGTTCGGAGATGGGCAATATCGGTCCACTCCTTCTGGTACCTCCCCCACAAAATATCGACATTTTCAAAGAAAATAAAATACTGCACAGAAAGAGAAAGTATGATTCGATTTTGCTCCAATTTTGCAAATCCTAATATTTTCATCAGTGCTAGGTCAGGTGCGAAAATGTCCAATATCGGTCCACCACTCCATCAAATACCTCCTCCAAAAAACGGTCAAAATTTCGAATAATTTCGAATAATTTCACACATCTCAATATTTTTATTAACCCAAGATCTGTTGGGAAGATGGAATACAATTTGAATAATAATAACAGAAGTTAAAATATATTTAAATAATCGAACATTGGCTGAGGGTGGTATACATCTGTCGACAAACCCGACTGATATTTTTCTATAGAAAAATATGCGATCCTCAGTAGTCAGAGGTATTTTTTGTTGCTCTAGAAAAAAATCCGGGCCTACCTTTCATTTTTTTCAATTTAAAAAATTTGGAGCCTCAATTGTCTAAGGCCTTTTTATAGGAAAAAATCAGAGCCTCTATTGTCTAAGACTTTTTTTATAGAAAAAAATCGGAGCCTCAGTTGACTGAGGTATTTTTTTTTTTTTGTTTTTGATTTTTTTTTTTTTTTTTTTTTTTTTGAGAAGAAAAATGCCTTGTGATCATTGAGCCTCAGTAGCGGTCCGAGGCATTTTTTTCTATAGAAACAAAATTCGGACCTCAGCAGTGGTTTGAGGAATTCTATTCAAAAAAATCTCGGCCGCAGTTGTGGTCTGAAGCATTATATAGAAAAAAAATCTCGGCCTCTGTTGTAGTCTGAGCCAACAATTCCGGCCTCAGTTGTCGTCTAAGGAATATTTTTTATTCAAAAAAATCAAGACCTCAGTTGTGGTCTGAGGCATTTTATTTCATTTTTTCCTATGGAAAAAAAATCCGGTCCTCAGCCTGAGGTCTGAGGCATTTTTTTTTTCTATAGAAGAAATAGAAGCCTCAGTTGTGGTCTGAGGCAAAAGGCGACCTATTGAAAAAAAATTCTTTAGACAACAAATGAGGCTCCGATTTTTTTTCAGCTGTGGTATAAGCCATTTGTTTCTATAAAAAAAAAAATCGGGCTTCCAGTTGTGGTCTGAGGCATTTATTTCTACAGAAAAATGTCGAGCCTCATTTATGGGCTGAGACATTTTTTCAAATTCAAAAAAAATTGAAGCCTTTGTTGTGGTCTCAGGCATTTAAAAAAAATGGAGCCTCAGTTGTGGTCTGAGGCATTTTTTTCCACAGAAAAAAATCGAAGCCTCTGTGGCTTATTTTTTCTCAAAACCCGATTCCCGATTATTTCGATAGTAAATATTGCTTTATGCCTCTATGGAAAATGTTTATATCTGGGAACAGGTAACATTGCAAGTAAATTGCATACTTTTAGGCGCCCAATGAACTTATCAGCTGGTCGATGAAAATTGATTTCTTTGGATTTTTTTAGATTAGCCCACATTGGCTATTTTATGTTTTTTTACAGAGGGAGATCAAAATTATCTTTTTCCTCTGCGTAAGATACAATACTATTAGCTACTTAAGAACAAATTTCTCCCACTTACCAATTTTTAATGAGGCCTTGATACAAATTATCAACAGCAGGTGGTAAATGCAGGAACTTATTGAAGGCACAAGGTTGCATCTTTGTTGTTGTTGTTGCAATAGAGTAAAGGTTAAGAGGTTGGAACGCCTTCCTGTGCTGCAGGTGTTGGCCTACCATCTGTTTGGGTCATCCGTTCTATCTGGGTGAATTGTCACCACGACGATTGTAGGGTAGGCGGGGATAGGTAATATTTGTAGAGGATCTCCTGGACTGTTCATTTGAAAATGGTCCGCGGGAAAGCTCTTCTGAAGGGAAATTTTGGCTTGGTTCGTTGGAGGAGAATCTCTGGAAGGTATCCCCTTGCCATGATAAATTGTGACGATATTGGGAAAAAGTTGGGACAGGAGGAGGTGGTGGTATTGTTATGTTGGGAGAACTATGGCCATGAGTTACTGATGCCATGGGATTTGGGTGTTGGAATGGATTGAAGGAGCTACTGAAGAAATTTCGGGATCTTGCTTCTTTACTAGTGGAGGGTAGATCTGATAACCCCTCCCGACTAGATTTCGAAAAGCTTGTTTCTTCTCTGCCCTCCTTTTCATATCCCTGCTGCAGTCTTAAATAGATGTGACCAAATCTATAGGCAATGTAACCTTTGGTCTGCTTCAATTGTTCCCATGATTTCCTATCGACGGCAAGTGAAAGTTCCACATTTGAACCCTCCGACCATTTTCTTTGCAAAACTCTCCACATCGAGGCTTTTAGCTGATTTTGGGCCTCAATGGTGCCCAGGATTTTATCATTGGCTAGCCCTTGGCTATTGGGAAATTTTCCATGAACATAATAGGTATAAGGGAATTCCAATTCTTCAATGATACGTAAATCCAAAGCGGATTTTCTTTTGATTATGTCGACATTCTCCTGCAGCCACTTAGCAGTATTGGAATTACTACAGCTGACCATAAGCCAGCCACGGCGTGGATAACATCCCTCGAATTGGGGTTTCACTGCACAACCCGTTTCAATGGTCGCATCTATTATGGCCTCTTGAAGCCTCTCCAAATCTTGGGTGGTGAGGGGATTTTCATATAAATCCAAGGGTATTATACCCATATTTATAGAGCAGGGCTGCTCAAGGCGGGATCTCTTTGTTATTTCTCCTGAATGAGTTTCGGGCATTGGGTTTCGTTTTAAGGGAATTCTCCGTTCTGTTGGCTTTTTGGCCCTTTCCAAAGCTTCTTTTCGTGAGAGTCCTTCCGACAAGGCTTTCTTGAAACGACGTTTCTCGGCTGTATTAAGTTTTACAAAATCGGGTTCTTGTCTTTGCTTTGGACTGTTTCCGCTGGTGGATGAAGTTGACGACATGGTTGGGATTTCAGTCTTACATAAATCAGGATCTCCTGAAGGCACAATAGGTGTAGTAGCCGTATCTTCTGATGGCCATTCTGTTTCGCACACCTCCTGGCTGATTGTTGTTGTATCCTTGGAGAAAGGTGCCATTTTTAGTTTTTCTGTTAATGAATCCTTTGTTTGTGACGATGGTGTTTCCTTATGGTAGTTCATAATATTGTCCTTTTCTTAGAGAGAGAACCACAATGTTCCTCTGCTATCCAATGATAGCATTTTCTTGTCAATTTTTCTTATTTATTTATGAGTACTATTCTTGTATTCAGACACCAAGGACACAAAGTCCTTATTGAGTCTTCTTATGTTTTAAGTTCGTTATGAAATTCTATAAAAAATTAGATTTAATTTTACAAAAAAGAAAAAAAAACTTACAGCCAGATCTTTGTTATCATCCTTAAATTCAGCTTTTACAATGTCCACATAAATTACCAGTCTCACAATAAAGGACCTCGAGGGTCTCTGAATTCAAAACAAACCTGCGTTTTAGCAGAATATTTTAGAAGAAAATAAAAGTTTTTTCTTAAGGAAAAAACGAAGATTATATCCTAAAGATATCTCTTCTTTAAAGAAAAAATCCTTAATATCCTTTCTTAGAAAGAGGTCATTTTGTTACAGAAAAGGTCTTTGAAAATATAAATTTTTGGAGAAAGGGTTATTTAAAACTTCCTCTTTTTAGAAAAAAATCCATTTTAAGAAGGATATGTGAAATCACCATCAAATCATCGATTTATTAGAAAAAAGGATCAATAAAAGGTACCATAATAAACCTGTCGATGAAAGGAGACCTTGAACAATCCTTCCGTAGACAAAGGTTCGGTACAAGAGGATCCTTGAAAGCAAAATTTCTTATGAAAAATAATCCTTAAAATCATGTCGTTACAGGGTCCTTAAAATATCCTTCCGTACAAAATAGGTCCTTGCAACCACGATTTCATAAAGGAACATACAAAACTCATTCTTTAGGAAAGGGTCCTTTCAATCCTCCTTACATGGAAAAACGGATCCATAAAACATATTTTATTGGAGAAGACATCACTAAAATCATACTTCTTAGGTTCCAAACATCCTATCCTGAATTGAGGTACATTAAAAATTATCTTCTTGAGGAGGAAGTACCTTAAAAGAGCCTTTCTTAGATATAGAGTAGAACACCTTTCCGAGGTTATGTCCTTCAACGAACCCATTTCTGGGCAAAGGAACCTTTTCTTCGAAGAAAAAAATTCTTTTAATAGCCAAATGGTCTATAAATTGGCCCAAAAATTATGCTTGATTCGGGAAATGGTCTTAGGTATTACCCATTACCTCTCAGAGATTTATTCCGTTTTTTATAATAAAAAATTCTGACAAACCATTATTACAGAAACCTGAGACCCCAAGTCATCAGATCAGTACTGGCTGAGAACCGGATTTTTTTTTTCTATATAAAAAAATGCCTCAGCCCAGACTGAGATTCGGATTTTATATAGAAAAAAATTCCTCAGTTTTAACTGAGGGCCGGATTTTTTTCCATAGAAAAAAATTCCTCTGTCCTAACTGAGGACCAGATTTTTTTTTTATAGAAAAAATACCTGAGATTTTTTTCTCAGTCCTAACTGAAGCCCCTGAAAATGCCTCAGACGGCAACTTAGGCTCCCGATTTTTTCTATAGAAAAAAATTCCTCAGTCCATAGTTGAGGCCTCCGATTTTTTTCTATAGAAAAAAATGCACCAGAACACTACTGAGGCCCCTGATTTTTTTCTTTTTTTCGATAAAAAAAAAAAAACCGAAAACCAAGTTTTATCTATAGAAAAAAATGCCTCAGCACTGACTGAGGTCTCCGATTTTTTTCTATAGAAAAAATGCCCCAGAACACTACTGAGGCCCCTGTTTTTTTATTTTTTTCGATAAAAAAAACCGAGCCTCAGTTAGGTCCGATGCATTTTTTCCTATAGAAAAATTTGGGGCCTAGGTAGCGACCCTCTATAGAAAAGTGCCTCAGACTTAAATGAGGCTCGGTTTTTTTTCGAAAAAAAAAAATGGCTAAGACCTAGGTGCGGTCCAGATTTATTTTATAAAAAAAAAAATGTCTAACTAACTGAGGCCCCTGATTTTTTTCTATAGAATATCGAAAAAATGCTTCATTCAGTCCCCGATTTTTCCTACAGAAAAAAATGCCTCAGTTCGAAGTGAGGCCCCGGATTTTTTTCTATCAAAAAAATTTCTCAGACCTGATTTTTTTCTATGAAAAAAATGCCTTATTCCTAGCCGAGTTCCGGATTTTATTTCTATAGAAATACCTCATTACTGAGGCCTGAGAATAATTTCTTGATAATATTTCTATTACGTGATTTTAATCAGCCACAGATTTATGACCTACTTTAAGGCTTATGTCTATTACTTCTTCTTCTTCAATTTAATTACGAGAATATCCTGATTTTCGACAGCTCAGATTTCAAGTAGCATTGAGTTAATTAATAACATAATTTCAAGCAATTAGCTTCATTTACAAGGAATCACATCCTTTTCGGTTTGGAATCCGGTTGCCATGAAACAACATATTGCCTATCAGATAGGGGGGAGGAGTTTTTAAAATACAATTTGTTGCATACTTTTTGGGGATTGGTTTGTGTGAAATTTCACAAATGTTATTTAACGGTTATGGAGGATGGATGATGGTTGGTGGTGGTGATGAAGATGAAGATGAGAATGTTGACAAGGATATCAACATGTTTGACTTTGCAACAACAACAACAAAAACAACACAATTAAATATTCATATCTTAAGTTGGGTTGTAATGCATATTTGCCTTTTTCCAAAAAAACACAGATTTTCATTAATCTAATAAGACTTTGTAATAATTTTTTGGGTAAACACACACACACACACACACACAGACAACACATCGAGCAGATGATGATGCCGATCTGTAGAAGTTCGTAACTTATCCTTTGGTTATGTCCGTCCGTCTTGGCGTTCGTTCGTTCCTCTGTCCGTCCATACTCATGATTTGGGCTGTCTGTCTGTTGTGCTTAAAACCATGAATTTGTAATTGTGCGGTATGTACGACTGTCTCTAACCATGGCATTTAGTCCTGCCCGCTTGTGTCACAACTTCCACCGACTGGTGTTTACTTTGGAAACTGTTCAAAAAGTTTACTTGGGCGGAAAACCTCCATTAGAAGAAGGGTAATCTTTTTGGTGGTGGCCTCACTTCGATGCAAAGTGTCTCAATGTGATTGTGTTCTGGCTCCAAAAGCCGTAAAGAGTTTATGCTAAAAATCTGATGATGTTGCTGAGGATATCTAGGAGAGGAGAGACTTTGGCTCTTGTTCTTCATCCACAGCTGTTGGCTGACTGGTGCCAAGAATATTGTTTTACATTCTTAGTGAGCTGTGAACTGTGAATTCTGAACTGATTTAACTTTGAACTACTCCCGCACAGTCGAACACACCAGGAGGACACACACACAAAGGATTATTCCGTGTGTGTGATGGCGTTGCCTTCCTTGCCACCAGCCAGCCACCAGTTGCTGTTGCCTTGCAAAGAGGAATCTTCGCATTTGAGGAATTATATTTTTACAAATTACAAGCATACTTTTAGGATGAATAGCTTTACAACAGGCCAAAAGACTAACTGATGATATTACAAATTGATGATGATACTCAGCTGCTGCTGCTGCGGCTGCCACTGCGGATGATGATGATTTTATCATCTGAATGGCACTTTAACTTTTAAATACAACAACAAAGAATTGTGTCCTTTGAACGGATCCTGTTACCCAGCGCTTCATGCCCCTACACAACCAAAAAAACAAACCCGATTCGGAAAGGATAATTATTTGTTGTTTAACCAAGAGTAAACCACAATTATCCCAGCCCCTGACCAAAGAAGAATGGAGGGGGTTGAGTAGTTTTAAACTGTCAAATAGTGTTAAGGTCCTTCATGGCTAGGATTTAAAATATAAAAAAAAACGCTGGAAGGGTTGGCCAGCCACTATCCATTGATCATTGTGCTGGCATTACTTGTAGAGGTCCAGTTTGTGTTATTATCTCAACAATTAAAGGTGGTGATTGGGGTGGCAAAAGGGTCAAACGGGAGAGGGGTTAAAAGGTCACACAAGGGCGGGCAAGTTGGTATGCTAATGACACAACATAAAATAACAGTTAATTAGCATAACATGGACACGTGATGATGGAAGGGTGGACAGACGACGGACAGGAAGGGGACAAGCAACAATATCCTCTCAAGTGCTGATATCAACTATTATGTTGTTGTTGTTGGTCGCGGTCCTTCTTCCCAATGACATTGTTGCATGTTCCACACTTCAGCCGGGAAAAGGGTTCGCTTGCCACAGTGTCGTCATATGATGACGTTGCCAAAAAGTTACAACTAATTTGTGTGTCCGTCCGTCCGTCCGTCTATCTTTCTGAGTGCTTGTGTGTGTGTGTGTGTCTCTCAGTGTCAAAAGCCATAAGTTGAGTTTTAATTGAGCATAAAATGTGCTCATCAAATGATTGTAATTAAAACTTATAAAAATCGGAAGTCAACACTTTGGTTGAACGCCAAAAGGCGGAAACCGGTTGGTTGGTTGGGTATGGCTGTCAGTTTGTCTAATTGCTGTTGAAACTTGTTTTACAAGTATTAAGTTATTTGTAAATCCATGCTGAACTCTTGTCAAAGTAATTACAAAGAGGGGGTTAAATATTTGTTGCCTACTTTTAGGGGAAAGGAAAATAATCTCAAATATAACGATTATTTTCTATAAAATATCAAACAATTTTAAGAATTTTTTTCTGCAGAAAACAAACAGGCCTCAACTGCGAGGTATTTTTCAATGAAAATTATCACAGGCCTCACAGGAATGGGCCATTCAGGGGAAAGATTTTTTTTATAGAAAAAAGAAAATCCTCATTCCTTTGGACCATTTTAATACTCTCCAACATAGTATGAAGGCTATATTAAGTTTGTCATTTCGTTTGTAAAACCTCGAAACATACATTTTAGACCCCACAAATTATATCTATTCTTGATGGGCATAAATCTCTTTGTCGATTTAGCGATGTCCTTCCGTCTGTCCATCGGTGGAAATCACTATAGCTTTCAAATATAAATTATGTCTGCCGGACTTTTGGTATTGAAAATGGGCCATGTAGGTCCACGTTTTTGTATAGCCCCCATATAATGGTATCTCCCT